ATAAAATTTTATATCATTCAAATTTACGTAAGAAAATTGCAGCATATGAATGTCAAACTAGCTAAAGTATATGTAAAATTAATGCCATTAATTTAAAAAAAAAAAGAAACATTGCAAAACTAGCATTTAACCACAACGATCAATTTAGGGATGTCAATTTCGGGTCACGGGTCGGGTTCGGGTGGAACCCGAAACTGACCCGGCACTATTCGGGTCAACCCGAACCCGACCCGCTTCGGGTCCGGGTCAATCCGACACGATCCGAATGACCCGTTTCCAACAAAAAATTGCTAGTTTTCGAGTCAAAAACGGGTCTATCTCCTCTTTTTCGGATAAAAAACGAGTGTATTTCCTCTTTTTAGGGTAAAAAACGGGTCAAAGGGTTGACCCGAACCCGACCCGTTTTTTGAAACGGGTCGAAATGTTGAACCCGAACCCGACCGGTTTCGATTTCGGGTTGGCCCTAACCCGAAATTTTCGGGTCAGGTTCGAGTCGGGTTTTCGGGTCGTGTCAAATATTGACACCCCTAGATCAATTTCTAAGTAAGAAGTGTTACCTACCAACATAGAGGGTTTCTAAAAGCCAAGAACCTATGCGAAAACCTTAAGGGCATAAGTGAAATTTACACATAGTTCTATTTCAAAAAAGATCCACTTGCACATGCTATTTTGAAGAACTTGACAAAAATAACGATGGAATAATTGATCTTGAACCGTGACTTATCATTACTGTGTTCTTTTTGGAAACTACTACTATAATGGTCATTTTCAACATAGCTCTCCTAAAGACACCAAACTTAAAAAAAAAGGCACCAAATGCACACACAAACATTAATTGTACTCAAGAGAGACCTAGCATTGTTCATGCTCATCTCCATCAAACCAAAATGATATATATCAATAAAATCAACTGATTAAAGAACATAAGCCATTTAAAGCTAGTTAGTTTTAAACTGATAACTATGGAATTGGAAAAATTGGGGCACGCATATCATATTTTAATCAGCAAAGAGAATTTAACTTTGCATAACTAAGCATAAACCAAACTAAATCAGCCATCCTAATGCATCATTCTCGAAATTTCAAACTAAACTTTATTCTAATACCACATTACAACAACAACAATATCAAGCCTTTACCCACTACATGGGGTCGGCTACATGAATCATTTTTCTCCATTGTGTCCTGTTAAGAGCCAAATTCTCATTTCAATTTAATAAAAATTATCATTTCTAATATTTTCTAATCAAGCATTTTTAGTTTTGCCTCTATCTTTTTTAACATAGGTCAAGTCTAATACATCTACTCTTCTAACCATGTCATGGGAAGGTCGACGTTTTATGTGTCCAAACCATCTAAAACACTCCAACCATTTCGCATATATACTCGTTTCACATAAACAGCTTTGTTTGCCTCATTGCCAATCACTACCTTTTTCAATTCCCCATCGTCTACCTCATTTGTTACTCCATCGGCCACTTCCAGTCAACGACAATGATGACCCTTCATGATACCAAGTGAGAATCATGTGAAAGTAGCAACAAATCCTTCTATAAATCTTCTATTTTCAATTCATCCCTTCGCCGCTAACCACACAATTCATAATGGACACACCTACCATCACACAACTAAAGCAACATCATCACAATTCCCTGTCCCACTCGGGTCGGTATTTCGGACCCGAACCCGACCCGCTTCGGGTTCGGGTCAACCCGACATGACCCGAATGACCCGAGGGTGGGAAAATTTGCTAGTTTTCGGGTTGAAAAATGGATCAATCTCCACTTTTCGGGTCAAAACCGGGTTGAAAACGAGTTAATCTCAGGGTTCCCGGGTCAAAATAGGTTTTCGGGTAAAAAAATGTGTCAATTTCGGGTCAAAGGGTCAACCCGAACCCGACCCGTTTCGGGGACAGGTTGACCCTAACCCGGAATTTTCTGGTCGGATTCGAGTCGGGTTTTCGGGTTGTGTCAAATATTGGCATCCATACTACCTTTCAATGGTCGTCAATGGTGCATCAACATATCATAATAATGAAGCGTTGTCATTTTGAATACATACAGGATACGTGCACTTGCTCGAAACATGCTTGACACATACTGAACATACACCTACATGTCTGATTAAAAGAATTAATAAAATTAATGGACATGGGGTTCCAACACGTTTATTAAATATTAATTTCAACTTAAATATATCATATAAATAACTTAACCGATCACTTTACTTTTATTTTAAAGTATATTACTTAAATAACTTAATAGCTTGTTTAACAATAGGTTTTATTTTCCTTATTTTTATATACTTTAGCGTGATTTCTTATAATATTTATTTTTTTATTTTTCTACAAAATAATTAATTTATACAACTTCAAGCCAATTATAATCTATAATATGATGTGCCAATTTCTTTTTCCATCGAGGGAAAAGTTGTTATACATTTATTATTATATGAATTCATTTCACATTTAATTAAATTGTTTAATTATTATGCATATATTTCATTTTTACGATATATTTTATAATGATGTGTCCATTATATCTCATTTTCTATATTTTCAATCATAGGTGTTGTCCTATGTCTATGTCCTCATTCTCGTATCGATGCGTCATAAATTATCATTCATCTGCTACCATCTTCGATGCTGCTTCATTCATCAAACAATCTTCTTCCCCAAACCCATTTCTTACCGGACAAACTCTTACGCCATATCTTTCTTTGCATCATACCCCACAACCTCTCCATTCTCACCACCTCCTCTATATCCGTCATGGCATGCTTCACCATCCTCCTCAACATGGACATCATCATAGCGACCATGATGATGCAAGGATTAGCATTGGTTTTATTGTGGGATGGCGGTTGGGTGTGTTGAGTGAGGTGATTAGAGCACTAGGGGATTATCCAAGTGTGGTGATGAAGATGGGGAGGGAGAAGAAGTGCATTGGAGAGGTAGGGTTTGTCAACAATTATGAGAACAGACAATGACCCAATTAGGCAAAGATGTCCCAAGCAAGCAACATTTCTCCTTCCGAAACTTCCCTCAAATCACCTTTGAACTCCTGCGACATCACTCCTCCCAAACCAATAGCAACACTTAGATTGTTCAAAAAGAACGCGTAACCCTATAACCTGATAAGAAGATAAGAAGAGAAAAACTTCACCTTTACTTTATCAGATAGAACATTCTGAATTATAAATGATATGAGTGTGGTCATAAAATTTTATATCATTCAAATTTACATAAGAAAATTGCAGTATATGAATGTCAAACTAGCTAAAGCAACTGTAAAATTAATGCCATTAATTAAAAACAAAAACTTTGCAAAACTAACATTTAACCACAACGATCAATTTCTAAGTAAGAAGTGTTACGTAGCAACATGGAGGGTTTCTAAAAGCCACGAACCTATGCGAAGAACAATATAAACCTTAAGGGCATAAGTGAAATTTACACATATTTCTATCTCAAAAAAGATCCACTTGCACATGCTATTTTGACGAACTTGACAAAAAAAAAAAAAAAACCTATGGAATTATTGATCTTGAACCATGGCCTATCATTACTGTGTTCTTTTTGGAAACTACTACCATAATGGTCATTTTCAACAGCGCTCTCCTAAAGGCACCAAACTAAAAAAAAAGGGCACCAAATGCACACACAAACATTAATTGTACTCAAGAGAGACCTAGCATTGTTCATGAATATCTCCATCAAACCAAAATGATATTTATCAATACAATCAACTGATTAAAGAACATAAGCTATTTAAAGCTAGTTAATTTTAAACTGATAACTAAGGAATTGGAAAAATCATATCATATTTTAATCAGCAAAGAGATTTAGCTTTGCATAACGATGCATAAACCAAACTAAATCAGCCATCCTAAAGCATTATTCTCGAAATTTCAAACTCAACTTTATTCTAATACCACATTACAACAACAACAATATTAAGCCTTTATTCCACTACGTGGGCGGCTACATGAATCCTTTTTCTCCATTGTGTTTTGTTAAGAGTCAAATTCTCATTTAAATTTAATAAAAAAATATCATTTTTAATATTTTCTAATTAAGCCTTTTTAGTTCTACCTCTATCTTTCTTAACATAGGTCAAAGTCTAATACTTCAACTCTCCTAACCGTGTCATTGAAAGGTCGACATTTTATGTGTCCAAACTATCTAAAATGCTCAAACCTTTTCACGTATAAACTCGTTTCGCATTCTATCTCTAAGAAAGAAGCCACTCATCCACCCGAGCATTCTCATCTCTGCAACACTTAATTTTATGCTTCTCTTTTAATGTCCAACATTATGTGTAATAAAGCATTGCAAGTCTCACCATCATCTTATAAAATTTTTCCTAAAATTTGAGGGGTATTTTTCTGTCACACAACAGACCCGATGCATTACTCCAGTTCAACCATCCAACTTGAATTTTACTAATAATATCCTCATCTATTTAACCATAACTTTAAACAATAGACCCGAGATATTTAAAACGTGAACTCTTATTAATGACTTGATCGTCCAAAGTCACAATCCTCCCACTAGGTCTATTACTACTAAAATTACACTCAATGTATTCGGCTTTAGATCTACTCAAACAAAAACTTTTAGAATCTAGTGTTAACGTCCATAATTCAAGTTTTCCTTCAAGTCCCTCTCTAGTCTTATCAACAAGAAGAATATCAACAACAAAAAGAGAAAAAAAAAATCATCAACAAAAAAGCATATAACATGGTACATTCTCTTGCAAATATTTAGTAAGAACATCCATGACTAAAGCAAAAAGATATGGGCTTAAAACTGATCCTTAATTCTAATACCATATTCATCAAAAATTAATTCTGTGCAAACTACACCACCAAAGCGAACTTCTCAATTATAATTGTCATCATAAATTCTATAGCATGCAGCTCAGGACAATTATTCAAAAGTAAACAGAAGTAGTATTCAAAAGCAAACAAAAAGTAGCATGGTTTCAGCAAATACTTACTCTCCACTTAAGAACAGGCGGCCAAGCGTGGCAATTGCAAGTCTAGATCGAAGGCCAGGATGAAGAAAGTAAACAACCTGAAGCCTTTCTTTATACTCAACAGGTAGATCTTCATATATCCACCTCAAGATAGACATTCCAGGATTATTATCCTCCTTTTGTACCGTAGTATGCATGTACAAAATGCAGAATGGACCATCGCGTAACTCGGCCATTAGCTTATGAAAGACATACCTCTTCAAGCGCTCCCCAGCAATAACAGTAGCTGAGGATTGAGACAAATAAAATGCTAAGCAATGAAGTTGGACAAAATTTATCAAGTAATAAACTCCCCTAACTTTCTTTTGTAAAGAATCATTGTAGAGCATGTCCAGGAATCCTCATCAGTTTATCCTATCTCAGGTGGGTTTTACCTAAACTTCATTTATATTTTGGGGGATTTACATACGTAGCACTCAAAACATTAAGTTTTACACTTAAAACTTTAAATAGCATAAAAAGTAATACCCTCTCAACCTTCCCCGTTGCAATCCAGTCACCTACGGAGAGGGAGAGGTTTGTGGCGGAGAAATCGCAACGGTGTGATTTCGACGAACAGTTGCCCCCGCCTACCAATTTTGCTCAAAACTCCCACAGTTGCTTACACCTTCTGTTACTGATTTTGTCCAGCTCCCGCAGTTGCCTCCGCCTAATCCGTGAGATCCACAGTCGCTGATACCCACTTCTTCCACCCAAAACCTCCAGCCTCCCGCCACCGTCCAACCCAGATCTTGCCAGAGTCTCCCACCGCAGGTGGCCTCTACCCCGATTCACCCATTCAAAGATAACTCAGGCCGCCTCTAGGTCCAACATCTCCGACCGCGGCAGTCCGCCTCTTCATGGTTAACGGGGTGCTAGGTTATGTAAATAATGAAGTTTCGGTGTTAAATTTGCAAACCAAAATATTTTGGATGGCATTTATGTAACTACTGGAAATGAAAAACCTAAACAACAAAACAAACCAATACTCGGATTAATCATTTGACCACAACAACTTTGCGGCATGCTCGTGCAACTTCCATCACCGAAATATGCTTAATTGTTGGAAAAATCAACAGGATGAACAATCTTCCTCTTGCCATGGGAGCAGAAACAATCCACACACAGCCCAATTAACTAGGAAACTAGTAAGCAAAAGAAAACATCTCAAAACGGAAAAGTAAAAGGCGACGTACCAGGGAAATACTTCCCGACGATTCGAAGAATACGATTCCCAGACTTATCCAAACCCTCAAATCGCAGGACCTGAAGCGCTATCAGATCGGAGAAATCCTCTTCTGAGCAGTCGTGCCACTCCTCCGGCGCCTCAGCGGCCGCGTCTTCTGCCACTCGAGCTTGACGCTCCGCCGGACTGAGGAGGGATCGAGCGTCTACGCCGAGGTCTGAAGCCAATACTACCACCGAGAAATCCTCGCCAGCGTGCCGCTCCATCATCAGTCAGTTCGCTTCGCTGTTCCTCAGCCTCTCCAAGTACGGCAATGCAATCTTCACATCCAAATATCTCCGTTACAAGGTCGCATAGCGATTACCCGCAGCGGCCTTCAGATTAATCTCGCTCGTTTGTAGCTAACGGTCTAAAGGGAGAGACTATTTGGTGCGGAGTCACTTCAATTAAATTCAGTCTGACATGTGAACAATTATTAGGTCCAGTGGCCCCATGTAGCTTTAGGTTCGGTCATCATCAAAGTCCTATATGAGGTCATGGTTGAGTACCCATTGAGTACCCATGTTTTACTTGGATGGGCTTCGCCCACGCATACCCACCCATGGTGACTTTCGGGATTTCGGACCCACTTATACCCACCCACTTTCCATGTTTTTTGAATACAGTCTGCCACGGACTGATAGCTTTGAGGCTTGTTGTCATTTGCTATGATGGCAAACTTTCAAGTCACATATCAAAATTTATCGTACTCGTATCGTGGTTAAGTGATGCAAAATACGTAGTGATGATTGCAATAGTATAAGTAAGATATACGGTGATTAACAATGTAAATCGATTTATCCTTCAATATTTAGTACACACCCATACCCACCCATAAGGTCATGGGCGTACCCATACCCATTGGGTATGGGTGGGTACATGGGTGGGTGTGGGTATGGGTACCCAATGCAGGGCTCTGGTCATCATTGAGATCGTGCCACGTGTTCTTATTTTTTATCGCGCGGCCCAACGACTTGCCCCGGAACGGAACCCGAGAATGCTATGTTCGCTTATTGCTAGGTATTACTTTGTATTTGCTCGGTATTGCTCGGTATTGTTTGGCAATAACGAGAAATACCGCTCTGTGAAGACCAATACCGAGCAATACAGAGCAATGCCGAGTTTTTCTAGAAAACTCGGTATTGCTCGGTATTTGTATTCACATAATGGTATTTCTCGTTATTGCCGAGCAAAATCGACAAATACCTAGCAATACCTAACAATACCGGGTTGTCATGGATTTAAAAAAAAGCACGTGCGACATACCCACTATTCGCCGGGTCGGGTCCGCGGTTTTGTGCCTGCTACGTAGCGCGTTCTCAGCGCTTGCAGAACGTAGCTCTACGTCCGGTCACCGGATCAAATAAAAGTTCCTGACATGCAGCGTAGACACGCAAATGTTTAATTGGATTTTAAAAAAAATTATGTCACTGATCCGATTTGGCCTATAATTTTTTACTTTTTTTAAGAAAGATATAAAATTTGACGCTCCATTTAAAAAAAAAAAAAAAGCTGTAAAACTCTCATATCTAAATATTTAAACCTTTTGATTCCTGCTCGTACAGGAAAAATAAGGAACACTGTTGCAATGCTCACCAAGATGAAATGCTCATAGGACACAAAAGGCTGAAAGGAGATAGGCAAAGGTTCAGAAATAGAAAGTTAAATTAATTGGAATTGTTGCAAATTTGAACTTATCGGTAAACTTCTACCACATCCCAAGTTGTTTTAAGGTATCCAAAGTTTTATAATTTTTCAAAGTTATAAAATAAAGCACATCAATTCTCAGTGCAAGAGCATACAACGGCATAGAAAAAGCAAAAGAGCATTGCGCATTTGCGACTACACATTTACTGCATATTGCAAATGTGCTAATGCTGTTTTTTCACTGCATTTTCACTTTGCTTTGATGGGGCTTTCATTGTGCTTTTGTTATCCTTTTACTATGCTTTTGCTAATATTTCACAACAAATTTACTGCGCTTTAAATATGCTTTCGCTATGCTTTGCAGATCTAAATAGAAGTGAAAGCACAATGAAAGCGCATTGAAATACGTAGTGATGATTGCAATAGTATAAGTAAGATATACGGTGATTAACAATGTAAATCGATTTATCCCTCAATATTTAATACACACACATACCCATCCATAAGATCATGGGCGTACCCATACCCACCCATATTCATTGTGTAAGGGTGGGTACATGGGTGGGTGTGGGTATGGGTACCCAATGCAGGGCTCTGGTCATCATTGAGATTGCGCCACGTGTTCTTATTTTTTATCGCGCGGCCCGACGACTTGCCCCGGAACGGAACCCGGGAATGCTATGTTCGCTTATTGCTAGGTATTACTTAGTATTTGCTCGGTATTGCTCGGTATTGTTAGGTATTGCTTGGCAATAACAAGAAATACCGCTCTGTGAAGATCAATACCGAGCAATACAGAGCAATGCCGAGTTTTTCTAGAAAAATCGGTATTGCTCGGTATTTGTCTTCACATAATGATATTTCTCATTATTGCCGAGCAAAATCGACAAATACCTAGCAATACCTAACAATACCGGGTTGTCATGGATTTAAAAAAAGCACGTGCGACATACCCACTATTCGTCGGGTCGGGTCCGCGGTTTTGTGCCTGCTACGTGGCGCGTTCTCAGCGCTTGCCGAACGTAGCTCTACGTCCGGTCACTGGATCAAATAAAAGTTCCTGACATGCAGCGTAGACAAGCAAATGTTTAATTGGATTTAAAAAAAAAATTATGTCACTGATCCGATTTGGCCTATAATTTTTTACTTTTTTTAAGAAAGATATAAAATTTGACGCTCCATTTTAAAAAAAATAGCTGTAAAACTCTCATATCTAAATATTTAAACCTTTTGATTCCTGCTCGTACAGGAAAAAATAAGGAACACTATTGCAATGCTCACCAAGATGAAATGCTCATAGGACACAAAGGCTGAAAGGAGATAGGCAAAGGTTCAGAAATAGAAAGTTAAATTAATTGGAATTGTTGCAAATTTGAACTTATCGGTAAACTTCTATCACATCCCAAGTTGTTTTAAGGTTTCCAAAGTTTTATAATTTTTTAAAGTTATAAAATAAAGCACATCAATTCTCAGTGCAAGAGCATACAGCTGCATAGAAAAAGCAAAAGAGCATTTCGCATTTGTGAATACGCATTTACTGCAGATTGCAAATGTGCTCATGCTGTTTTTTCACAGTATTTTCACTATTCTTTGATGGCGCTTTCATTGCGCTTTTGTTGTCCTTTTACTATGTTTTTTGCTAATTTTTCACAACAAATTCACTGTGCTTTAAATATGTTTTCACTATGCTTTGTAGATCTAAATAGAAGTGAAAGCACAGTGAAAGCGCAATGAAAGCATATTTAAAGTGCACCAAAAGCATAGTGAAAGCTAGGGGTGTCAATATTTGACACGACATGAAAACCCGACCCGGAAAATCCGGGTTGGACCCGACCCGATTTTAAAACTGGTTTCCGGTTCTTGGATTCGACCCGTTTGAAAAACGGGTCGGGTTCGGGTTGACCCGACGGGTTTCCGGGTCAACCCACGAACCCGTTTGTTGTGTGGGCAGCTGAGCAGCGAGCGCGGGTTGCCGGGTTGGCGGGTTGCAAGAGCATACGACTGCCCGAACCCTGCCCGCTCAGCTGCCCGCACGATAAAGCCTTCCAGCGCACGCTGCCGCGCCTGCTAATGCCGGCGCCCCGCACCCGAGGCAGCTCGCGCGGGCAGGGTTCGGGCAGTCGTATGCTCTGTCTGCTCTATTTAAACGGCCCGAACCCTGCCCGCTCACCTACGCGCGCACCCGCGCTCGCCACTCGCCCGCGCGTTTCCAGTCCCGTGTCTGGTCAGGTCAACCTGACAACCCGCCGAATCGGGTCCGGGTTTGAATTTCCGACCCGTTTATCAACCCGGGTCGGGTTAGGGTCGACCCGTTTGAACCCGGATCTGTTCCGGGTCCAACCCGAACCCGACACGTGACCCGAAATAGACACCCCTAGTGAAAGCGTCGCGAAATCGTAATAGAAGCGCAACAAAAACATAGTGAGAGCATAATGAAAACACGGCTGATGTGTAGTTCTATCATTTTAGTGTGCTTTTGTTTTACTTTCACTAGGCTTTAATGAGCTTTCACTCTACTTTTGTTATACTTCTGTTGTGCTTTTGCTGAATTTTTATTGTGCTTTACTTCGTTTTATAATTTGTATATAAAGATAAGAAAATAGCATATTATGCTTATTACAGTTATACTCATAATATTGGCTTTAGTGTGCATAAGAATCATTATAGATTTACATTTACTGATCAAATTTCATAATCATAAAATCCAATGACTTCGTATGTTCAAAAGTTGATTTGAAGAAGAAATTTGATCTAAATTCTCAATTGAAATATCAAAAATTTGATCTAAATTCTCATCTTTAGTTATGTTTGCAGTTGATTGGAAATTGGAATGTGAAAAAAATTTATTGAATCACACAATCATGAATTGGTTAGGCCAGAAGACTAACGCCTCTTGAGATTATGCAGGAATATTGATGATGAGAAAACTTCAATTCTGAAATTAATGACATAAGCGGGGATAAGAATCGTTGATGCATTCTCCTATCTTATAGAGGAAGTTGTATGAATTTAGAATGTTAGATTTTCTAAGAAGGATACATACAACTTTATTTTGAATGAGAAAAGAACAAAAATTGAATTTGGGAACAGTAATTCTTTGATTCAATTATTTAAAGATCATATAGTTGATCACAATATGCTCGCATGGGACGTACAAATTGATGAATTTGATATATATATATATATATATATTCGGTTGATGGTATGGGTAGGATATATTATGACTGTTTTGGATATGTGAATTTTGATACTTTATTTCATGTAGTAACATTTTTTCCACTATGTATTACTTCAGTCATGGTAGTAAGATTTTATTCTAGTAAAGTAGTGAAAAATGATCTAAAATGCATCAAAGCACAATGAATTTTAGTGAAATAATTAACTACGCTTTCATTGTGTTTTTGCTGCACTTTCATTGAGATTTTATTGCGCTTTGGTTATAAGTGTTCAAAATAATTTAATTTTATAAGAAAAAATTTCCAAACTATAAGTGTTTTCAAAATTATTTAAAATTGTAAGGAAAATTTTCTGGAAAATGACTTAATGAATATATATATACATTCATTGTAGTAAAATTATTTTTTTTCCTTCAGCTCGTGTTAGTAATGTTTTTACACTATGTATTATATCAATTAATGCTAGATCATGGTAGTAAGTTTTTACGCTAGTAAAATAGTGAAAGAGTATCTTAAGCACAGCGATAGTGTAGCAAAAGCGTAGCTAAAGTATAGTGATAGCGCAA